ATAATTCCACAAAAAAAAAAAGGGGGGGGGGGGGGGGGGGGGGGGGGGGCGCTCAAACAAGGGCATAAGGTAAAGTGCACAATACAAAATTGTACGAGAGAGAAAAATAATTTAAAATTTGATTCATAAAAAGTTCAATACCCGCCAAATATAAAATGAATATAAAATCATGTAATTGCACATTTAGTACTAGATACAATATATGTTAGACAAAATTGTAGAAAAATATAACTTTATTAATCATAGTAAGAACATAAACAAACAAGGAATTTAAAACGCTGGAAAATATTAAGAGCTGAAAACACAATAAATCTGCAAATCGTGGCCTGTGTGTATAGAATTTTCTTAAAACGGATATGCATCTCACCATAAGTATTTGAGGTTTAGTTCGAACGTCTTCCTCTCAGGATACAATGGAAGAATTGGTACAATCTGTGCACTTTAATTTCTACTCCGTTAAAACAGTATTTGTTTTAGAAAACTATTACCAAAACTAAAAAGGAACCCAAAAAAATCCCGTGCAGACAGAGATGTAAAACAATGCAGTATGCAGAGAGGGTATGGTTTCTTATTGTGGAATAGTGGAAAATGATTTCTGATATAAACTTAGCCCCCAAACATGATTAGTTAAATATGTCCATAAGTATGTCATTAGCTTGTATTATAATGACAATAATTATTGGAGTCTCCACAATTTCAGAAATTAAAATGTCAGTTGGAGGATAAAAATTGACAAAACGTAGAACCTACTAAGTGGCCAATTTTGCTCCTTTCGGCCCGATATTTGTGTCAGCAGGCGCACTTGCACAAAAGTTTAAGGTTCGAAATTCTGATTCTGCACCCTCACAAATCACAGTAATGGATCTTACTCAAAATCATATCAAAACAGCCCAACTCTGGCCTTATTCAAGAATTGTTTTTGATCCAATCCGTAGGAGGCATATTTCCACCAATATATTCCCCCAAAAGATGAAGTACTAAAGTACTGAACCCATGCATGATTAATATTCCTTAAATTACCAAAACAGTGTTTTTTATTAAAAAAGAAGAAGATAAAATTGGGAGCCGCTATTGTCATCCACCATTCTTATATATCTATCCATCTTACATATTAAAAAAAAAAAAAAAAATTGTATTACATTTTCAACCTTAAGTAAATTTGTTTAATTAAATAGATAAGAACAAAACCAAATAAACTATAGCTCTAAATCCCTAAAGGAGAAATTACGAATTCAGATATTAAAAAATAAAAAATAAAAAATTTAGAGCCTATGGATTCCCTTCTCTTTTACTTCCTCAATAGTTTATTTAAGAGCATTTATAAACAGTAATCTTTATAAACACTTCCCAGGCATAGGTTAAGATGATAAATCTTGGACGTTTTGTGCTCTGTGCCTTCAATTCCTCTCTATAGTCCCATCCTGCTTCTAGAATAGAATTTATTGAAAGGGAGATCGTTGAATTGAAAACAAGTATCCAATGAAGGGATCGGGAAAAAAAAAAAGTAAAGGAAAAAAAAAAAGAAAAAGTAAGCTTAAGCATAAATTCTATGACGGGTAAGAAATAATCGAAGTAAATTGTATTCAAATATTTATAAAAGCGAACATAAACTCAACATCTTGTGGTTAACAGGATTCACGAAACACTTTCAAGACATATTTGGCGTACAATATTATGCAAGACAGTGCAAAATAATAAACACGAGTTTACCTTCTTAATAAATTTGTATTGTTTATTACTATTCTGTTAATGCTACCAAAAATAAAGAAAAAATGTCAAAATGTATAATTGGATATTGCCAACAATACTAATTCATTGAACAACAGCACCAAATAAACGACACTGAAGATTTCATATGACATAAATTGTTAAACAACTCCCTATTTATAAACTATAAAAGGGTTCAGATTAACTTAAAACAAACTAACTAAAGACAATATCAAATTCCAAAAAGCTTAATATCCTAAATAACTCAGAAACCTGCATAAAGACGCATAAGAGAACTCATAACCTTTTTGTATAACATTTGTTATATTTTCAACTATGCATAGATACTGATTCACCTATGATTTATTCTGCAAAATTCCGGTTGTAGTTTCCTATAAATGCTCCCCAACCGGCTTCTGAAGTCGACTTATCTAGCAATGACTTTCCAATTTCTTGTCCTCCTCTTCCTCCATGCTATCACCACCATAGATCGAGGACCCTCTGTGGTTTAACGAGCTACTTGATACACCAGCTGAGGAACTTGAATGCTTTTGTAATTGAAGCCTGTATTTCTGAATATTACACAAATTTTCATGCTTGGTAGAGAGCATCAAATAAGGCTCAATTATGGAAAAAAAAAGTTAATATCTATTAGTGTCCAATCCTACCCAATATTGTTTATCATAATTCTGAAAAGGATTCAACCACAATGCAAAATCAGATTGATTTTAGGAAAATTTAAAAATATATCCTCTGTTTACGTACCATATATTTTTAAAATTTATAATTTTAATACTCCATTTTATATTATGCGTGATATAGGACGTATTGGTCATATTGGAAAAATAAATATTAGTAGAAATAAAAAATCTTAATTCCGGATTGGGTCCATAAGACCATTTTGGAAAGAAAACGACGAGGGGAACAATACTCACGAATTTCGGCCATTTAAGTTCGTTTAGGTCTCGAAAACTGATTTTTAAAATTTTGATGCTATTTTTGTCAATTCGCTTATTTTGTGGTTTTTTTTTTTTTTTTTAAAGCTTCGTTTTCATTACTTTTAGTTGTTTTAAACTAGACTTCCATGTAAACCTTTATAAATAAGGGTAGTTCATTTTTTTAAAATTATTCATTCAATAAAATTCGTAAACTTTATTTTTTTCTTTAATTTGGTGGATTCCGAATTTTGTGATTTCAATGTTTTTGATTAAATTCCTTTCTTTCACTGCGTCAAGGCAGAAAGTAGCTTCTACTAAAAAAAATTACAAATCGTCCATTAAAAATAGTTAAATAGACTAAAATATCCACAAAAAAAAAAAGGCAAAAAAAACCTTTACGATTCTTTATTCCTGGGAACGTGCTTGACATTGGCACAAGGCAAAGTCCTCGGCTTTTTAAGTCTTGTTTTGACCCTCCTTCGGCAGAAAATTTATCGGCAGCCTGCATAAAACATTATGATTATCATTCCAAAAATATCAAATAACTGCATCGTTAAACATTCTTTTAAATAAAATTTGTGCATTTCGCAGTTAGTAGTATCTTTACATGCTACCTAACCAGGTTGCACAAAAAGGAAAATGTAAAATTAGGACACGACACTCAAAAATACCATTTTTGCGCAAAAAAAAAAAAAAAAAAAAAAAAAAAAAAAAAAAAAAGACGTCCTTTAAAGAAAAATACAATAAAAAATTAAACAATTGAAAAATAGTACGCAAAATGTTATATATGGCCCCGTTTGTTTTCCATTTTGGTAAAAATGAAAATGAAAAATATAGTCGTTATGGACCCACACAAGAGATAAAAATTCAAATTTGATGATTTGATGTGATAGATAACAGTCATATTTTTCATTTTAATAGAAAAATAATGAGAAACAAACAAGGGCATATGTAGTATATAGAGTGTGATTTATCACTCCAGTTAGGTTATTTTTCCTGTTTAGCTATTTGTAATGACATTTTTTATACTTTTCCAATAAATGATATTTTTATAGAAACATATAATACAAAATATAGTATGTAATATATATTATACCTGAATATATACATGTATTTCGTAAACTTTAATTTTACAATATACCTGCAAACGACTTTTCACTTCATCATTGGTAAGGCCATCCACTTTCATGAGTTCTCTTATCTGCTTTGGCGTCGCTGCTGCAAAATGAACCGACCAGTGACCTTAAATTACATCCTAGCTATAAAAGAGAGAGAAGTACCAAGGGATAATATACATTCAAGTCACACACAAAACTGTTTTTTGCGGAATTTCTACAAGGACATGTTTGTTATGCGGTATTGGACAAGAGCAAACAGTAAAATATACTAGAAATGTAGCTACTTTATTACCCTACCAGGCTACCAGCAAACAATTTTCTTACACTCGACGGTAGGAAATTTGGTTTTCTGCTCCTATTGGCATTGTTCAACAGATTTCTACATGAAATATCACACTTTCTTAGAATATACTTTTAAATTACTAAGGGAGAATTAAATTAGACTTGAAACAAACAAGAAACCTATTCTAATGTCCTTTAATTCGTTGTCCTTTTCAGGATTTTGCATGGCTTAACTTCAATATATCATCAATCTTTTCCTTTATATAAAATTCCAAGAATACATACGCTAACACTTCACATCCCCCTCCCCTCTCCTCCCACCTCACAATCATGCTACATTGCTAGAAAAATTTGACATCTTCTTTGAGAGAACGCCATGTGGCATTCTGTCATTGAATTGTTTTAAAAATAATCAACTTTTACATTCAGTCGTTTCCTGTCATCAATACATTTGTTAACTATGATGTCAACGTTTTCTTGCGAAGTAGTTTAATTCACAAAACAATACATATGTTGAGGCTAAGGTGGGGATGAAAAGGGGCATCGAGGATTATACTGATCCTCACCTTGTGCTCCTCCAAGTTGATGGAGTGCATCGGCAAATCTCTGGTGCAGTTCCAGGGACCAATGTCGCCTATGCTTTCGCGGCGCCTGCGGCTGTACTCTACCGCTACCGCATTCGCCTTTCAGACTCAAACAGGATCCCATTGCACTCACATTTCCTCCGGATTGTTTCTTGAATGGAACAAATGCCTCTCCCCTGCTGCCAAAATCACACGCCTGCTGTTGATACTCACTTCCAATGCCCACTTCTTGATACCTCTGTAATCAAAAAATCAGATTTCAAACATAAATAATCAATTAAAAAAAAAGTAATCAAAATAAAAAATAAAAAATTCCTGAGAACGTTACCGAATTGAGTAGCAGACCAGATCCTTGATTTTTGCTAGCAAAATTGTTTTCATACAACACTGGGGTGCTCCACAGCTTAGCCGAACTCATCCAATTTCTTTTATCAGCGAAATCTCCTGATCTTTTTTCCCTTCCATTTTCATCAGAATCACTCTTTAAAGGCATGAATTGTTCCATCACTGGCCTCACTTCTTTACCCTTTAACTGCAATTCCTCCTCCTTTAGTCTCTCAATTGCTGAAGAAAAATCAAATCATCCCCAAAAAAGTCAGGACCCACATAATTAACTAAGCCAAAATGGGTATATAAATATTAAATCTTTATATAAAAAGATAAAACCAGTGCATAAAAAATAAAAAATTTCTTTACGAAAAAAATTGAAGTACTAACCGTCCTTTAACAGATGCATGCAGTTTGGAAGCTCACTTCTGAAAGAATCGATCTTCTTCAATTCTTCTTCCAATGCGTTAACATGAAAATCCAGCTTTGATAATTTCTGGGAAAAATCGTCGATCAATGAAACTTCGGTAAGAATATCTGAAATGATCTTGGGAACAAAATTTAAGCCCTCATCTAGATTATGTTCCTTTAAGTTCTCACCCATTTTTCTAACGCCCTTTTCAAGGTATTGTTTTCAAATCCTTTTCTCTGTATAACTTACATTGCCCAGATAATCAAGCACAAGAGCGATGGGTAGCTGGTTCTGGTTTATATAAGTGTGCAGTGGGGGTGTAAAGGAAAAATAGGTGCAAAAAAGTCAATAAATAGGTGGGGTCATTTTGATTCTTGGAAAAAAAAGATTATATTCTATTATATTCACTTGTTTTTTTTTTGCTTTTTTACATGTTCGTGTGAATCGTGTCGTCGCATAAGTTGGTTTATATGTAGATATTATTAAGAATAAACGAAAATTGCAGGACTGGTCCTCAACTTATTGTCTAGTATCAAGTAGGTCTCCAACCTTTAATTCCACAGTCCATCTTCAATACCGTAAACTTCAATAATCTATGTGTTTAGTTTTATTTAGTTATGCACTACTTCACTAAGAGTAGATAGAATTTTTTTTTTTTTTTGGCCTAAAATGATGTATCTTATTCGTAACTAAATCAATTCCGGATGCTTTCCAATTGAACGCGACACACTGAGTGAGACAAGCTTTCACGAGGGTCCTATATCACGATTAAGCCAAGGACTAATGTGCAATCATTATGAAATATTGAAGATCAATTTACTCATGTTTAAAGTTTAAGAGTCAGCTTGCTACTTAAGTAATGACTTGAGGACTGACGGTAAAATTTTCTCAATAATAAAGTATTTTCATTATCTCTAATTTATAATTGATTTCTTTTTCAAGATTCTCCAAAATGATAGGGCCAAAGGGTACATTTGTTGACCAAATTTTGAGGAGTTAAGGGAGAAAGTTGTCTTTTTAAATTGAAATTTCAATTATTTGATAAGAATGGAATTTAATTAGGAATTATGGGGATTATTGAAACCTTGTATGAGATTAAGTAGATCCACTGCAGCTTCAAATGCAATCCATTTCAAAAGATGGTGAGGATAAATTATTCCAGATTATGTAATTCATTGAATAAGATTTATGTATGGACAGAGTCATATTTATTTATTCTTTAAATCCTATAATCTGAAATAAATAATGGATTTATTTAAGGAAGGGAGTAAACTCGTCATCTAAAGACTTTAAACACTAACTTATAGTTAGGAAAGTAATTAGAAAATAATTACTCTTTTTTAAATTAAGTTCTTTGCATCTATAAATTATAATTCACACAAAAATATTAATACTAATATTGCTGTCCAATTAAAATATGGTTGTCCTAAAAAAAATTAAAAAATGGATTTCATAATTATATAGATTTCTCTAATCAATTTTTCGATTGCTATCGAATTCACTTAATCAATTAATACGTAGATGTTGTCATTATGTTATTTGAGTCGAACTATCGAGGTCAAATTTAATACGATATGCAGAGATCAGAGTGAGAAAACTTTAAAAGACGTACATTTTTTAATTCGAAATATTAAAATCAGATTTAGAAAATGTTAAGAGAAATACGTTATTGGATTCGAACTATTGAAACCAGATTTAGGAAAAATTAAGAGAAAAAAGTTATTAGATTCGAACTATTGAGATCAGATTTAGAAAATTTGAAGAGAAATACGCTATTTTATTTGAAATAATGAGACCAGATTTAGAGGATTCTAAGAGAAATATATTATTTGATTCAAAATATAGAAATCAGATCAAGAACTTTTTAAGAGAAATATGTTATTTGATTCGAACATTGAAATTAGATTTAAAAGTTTTTATGAGAAATGGAACTAACAGTTAAATTCGAAAAATATAATGGTAAATAAATGTAAATGAAAATGGTACTCAACCAACGGAAAGAAACTTGGGTGGGGCGGTCACACCACGTGGGGCGCCACCTATGTGGATGGCCCACACACCTCAGGAGTGTGTGGTAGCCCACCCGTCGAGGTGGCGCACATTGATAGGGCGGTCGCACCGCCACGTGGTGCAACCGTCCTACCTAATTTTTTTCCCAACCAATGGGAACGGTGAGGAAATAGGCTATTGACACCTAAGGAATGTACAGCCAACTAGGAGTTATATCCTTTTATTCATGACGTAGGTGTGTGGTAGTCCACCTGCCGAGGTGGAGCACATTGATAGGGCGGTCGCACCGCCACGCACCGCCCTGCCTAAGTATTTTCCCAACCATTGGGAATGGTGAGGAAATAGGATATTGACACCTAAGGAATGTACAGCCAACTAGGAGTTATATCCTTTTATTAATGACGCTATCATCGTCGCATGAAATTTTTGGTGTATTCTTACCATCAACTGTCGTCCCAATTCTTCGTCAAATGTGCAAGTGCCTTGCACATTGCTATGTTCATAAAGATAATTTGAATTGTTTTAGTTGGCCTTGTTCATTCAGTAAGTTGACGAAGCACCAATTCAAGCCTTTTTAAAGAAACTGTTGTATGCGGAAGCGAAATTATCTAGAATTTTTTAAAAAAAAATTAAATCAATAAACAAGATCGTCTAGATGTTCACGTGTATGATACATCAAAAATAAAGAATTCGAATTTTTACCTAAATTCAATGATCAATTATTGAATTAATTTTGAACCACGAACTTCTAGCTTTTTAATTTCAAGAACTTGATGCTTTAAACCTCCAACTCTTCTATGGTATTCTCCAAAGTCAAGATTATACCAGTGGGTGGGCACCTTCTTTTAATTAAATCAAAAAAACTAATTCTTGAAATGGATAATTGAAAAATCAAGAAAAGTAATTTTTCTCTCTCCAAAATTTAAACACCATGGAATTATGTATTATGAATGTTGTACGATTCCATTCCATAGGATGCCTAGATTCCAACTAATCTCTATTTATAGAGATAAAAGAATTTCAATCCTTATATAATAATAATTTCACATTTAAAAAGAGCTCCAATTAAAATCCAAGTAGGAGTTTTAATTAAAGTTCAAATCCAATTAGTTTACATGTAATTAAATGTGCAGTCCTGGAACTTCAATTACAATTATAATTATGTTTACAACTTTCGTAGTAATTACAACTAAGTACAAAACTTTATTGGAATTACAATTAAACCCAAAATTATTAAAATTACAGTAATTAAGTTCCAATACTTCATGGAGCTATTATAGGGACCTGATCGAACATATATTATCAAAACTCCAATAATTAGATCCTATCTAGTTGACCATAGACCAACCAATCTAATTATTAGTCTTTGTTTTTTTTTCACTAATGGTAAAAGACTGAACTCTCGGAATATATAAGATCACATAAGCCAATAAATATGTGATACTTTTATCTAACCTACTGTATATGTATTTTATCCTCATCCTCATCCGATAATTAGATACAAGTATAAATGACCATTTTGTCCTTCTAATTATTTTCACTAACTTAAGTTTTATTTTCTTTAACGGTCTTGTAAATTAATCATAGATGTCAAAGTTTAGCTATCGTTAAACATTGAACTCAAATTTTAACCGTTTAACAGAAAATACGTAAGTAGTCACTCTACCCTTTTTCATGGTGATGATTCCCCACACGAAATCGTGTTTTCTACTACGGTCATTCTCAAGTTCCCAACTCATCGAAATATTTGACCAATCAAATTGATTTCACCTATTCATAAATCAAAGAACCATTAAATTCACGAAATGATATACATAATCATGTCAAGGGATTTAGATAAAATACACAGCGGTCAAGTAGAATTTAATTCTCCGCACGGTCATGTTATAAAATTAAATTGCGAAGAATTAAATTCGACACATGATCCATTCAACATACTCCAAGTATACTAGTGTCAATTTTAACTATTTCTATGATAAGGACAAATCACAAACTCGAATAGTTAATTGGTCAACACTACAACCTTTCAATACAAGGTACCAACCCTTATACATAGATTGTAAACAAAATTATTTATGATTAAAATATAAATTGTCTCACATTGTACTTCTAAATGCAAGTACTTAATTCATATTATTACAAGTGATCATAGGTACTTTCATTTTGCATGCTCAATAATAAATAAATAAAACCACAATTTATTTATTATAAATGATTATTTTATCATAGCAAAATATACTATATGGGCACACAACCAAACAAATTTCCCACTTGCCCTAGAGTATATATTTCATGTCTTGCAGATGTCCCTCGAAAACTTAGCTAATAGGCTCTTAGTAAACGAGTTTACAAGATTATTCTAGTAGCAATCTTACTGACACCACATTTTCTCTACCATCTCTCTTAAGAGATGATATTTTCTATTCAATGTGTTTATCCATTTGATGGCTCTTGGTTCTTTAACATTTGCCACAATCCCACTATTATCCCAATACAGCGTAAAGACATGTGCAGATATAAGCACCACCTCGATGTCCGTAAAGATTTTCTAAGTTATACAACCAATCTGGTAGCTTTATACGTTGCTACATATTTGGCATCAATGGTGGAATCAGAAAATACATGATTGCTTGTTATTTCTCCAAATAATGGGCCCACCATCCAGGGTAAATGATACCAATGTAGACTTGTGACAGCCTTCATCATTCTGAAAGACTAAATCATTTTAACCTATCGAAAAAAGACCTGACGAGGAGCATATAATTCCTTGTTCTTTGGAGGTACTAAAAGATATGATTTTATTGCTATTCGATGTTTTGATCCTAAGGTAATAGATCTCTACTCACCATACCAATAGTATGACAAATGTCAGGTCTATTATACAGTATAGCATACATGAGACTACTTACTGCCAACGAACTGATCTTTAAAAAGTTGGATTCGATGCTTAAGGGTAAAATCTTGCATAGCAGATTTGACAAGTATCTTGTCAATATATGAGACTTAAGGCAAAAGATATCATCTTGTTCTTTCTATCTCTCAAGATCTGAAACCTAGAACATAGCTAGCTTTATTAAGTCCTTCATATGAAACTGTTGGACCAACCACGCTTTCGTAGACAATAATGCACCTACATTATTTCTAATGAGTAGAATATCATCTACATAAGCACCAAAAATAAT